TGGCAATTTTAGACACTACTGGGAACAAAAAATGTGTAATTGAACAGCGCAGAATTTGAGGTTGACTTTTAGATATCAGCAGAATCTAACATTAGAATAAGAGATAAAAGCAGGTAGGCTTAAAGTGAATTTCATATAATATAAAATATGACATTAATAATATATATACCATAATACGTAATACCAAAAAGCTGTAATTGTATAATCTCTGGGTAGTTTTTGAGCCAGTTAGTCCTTTGCAGGACCAAATCCCCACACACACATACATAAATTGTTGCAAAAAACATGAGGAAAGGGGTATTAGGTGAGATTAGGTATTAAGAGCTGCTGAATGGAAGGAGTAGAAATAAATAAGTAATGTGCCCGACACATTTAACTGGGTAAAGCCCTTTGGCCTACTTAGCAATCCACTTCTAAGATCCGCCTTATAAGCCACACAAAAGAGAAGTTCCAGCTAGGCATAACAATATTTTTAACTTCTCTTGAACAAAACCTGCAACCTTGGGGGGAAGGGGGGGCTAAATCTCATGGGAGTTGCTATATAGGACTTCGGGAGGAGTTGAAGCTGCAGGACCTGGACTTCAGAACTCCAAATGTCCATTACATGGCAGCAGTGAGATACAGCAAATACTAAATATGGCCCAATTTCATATATTACAATAAAGTATGTAATACTGTTCTAGTACAGTGTTCACTGTGCAATAGAATAAACTGTTGATTTAACCAGTCAATATTTAAGAATATTTATTTAAGATAAGAAATTCGCTGGAAATTGGTAGATTTGTAGATTTGATTTTTCCAGCAATAAGTGTCCCTCTTTCCATCCTTTACTGACAATCATGGACTTCACTTGCAGAGTAAAAATGAATTCTGTTGCCTGAACATTTAATTGAGAGGAAGACTATGTTAGATGCCTAAAGAGAATCCAAGCTGTGCACTGATGACTTTTACAGTTATTACATGGTCATATCAGTGGACATCAAATATATCTAATGGTGTTTGAAACTGTAAGCAGTTATAACAGACTCCACTTCTCTTTTGTGTAACTTATAAGGAAGATTCTAGAAGTGGGTTGCTAAGTAGACTAAGTTTTTTTGCCTTTTACCCAGTTAAATGGAGCTACGCAAATTACTTTTTTTCTTCTTCTTCTATCATTCAGGAGTTCCTAATGGCTTACATAACATTCTCTCCTTTAATTTTTGTGCAACAGTCTTGGGAGGAATCTTGGGCTGATTCATATCATCAAAAATCACATCATCTTATTAAATTTCAATTAATTAATAATTCAATTCAAATCTAAAACATCTCTTCAATTTTCTTCATTCCATTACATAATAATTTTCATACAAATGAACCTAACATTCTGAAAAAACATTCTTAATATTCTAGATTACCTTTAATCCATTATATAAAAAATATCTCATTTTTAAACAAAAATATTGATCTATCCTAGGCATATCTAAATGTGTATATCTATCTATCTATTCTATACATGTCTAATCCATCAATTAATCAATCTCTTTAAGCTGACAGAATAGTATCAGACCTTAAATCATTTCAATCCATTGAGCAGAATTCAAATTTCATCCAGTTAGTTATCATAGCTAAACATCCATGTTATAAAACAAGCAAGTCATCTTATTTAATTAACATTCAATTAATTATTAATTCAATCCAAATATAAAACATCTCTTTACTTCAAACTCATAGTCTTAATCCTTACATCAGTCCATAATTCTAGGTTGCCTTTAATCCAATATATAAAATTTTAAATTTCATTTTTCAATCTTATTCTAGCTTTCCTCTTATGCCAGGCAGGTTTCCATAGCAAGGTGATGAATCTCTTTTTGTTGCTTGTAGTGTCATTTGATTTGATGAAAACCATCTTGGTCTCTGCATTGGCCCTCTGTTTCTCTTGACCATAAAGCCTCGTTGCTTCAGAAGTTCAAAACTCAGTCTTTGCTTTTCCTGGTCTTCAAAGCCATAGGTGGACTGCTTATAGGGCAAGGTAACATTCTCTTTATTCTCAGTTAAGTCCTCTTCTTGTATAATCTGTTTTGTAGAGTAGTCAGGTGTAATCTGAGAGTCAGTTTTAAGGTTTAAGGTAGAAGTTCTAGCTCTTAGTTCTGTAGTAAACTCTTTTATTGTAGTACATATTTCTTCTTTAGCCTCATAGATCTTTTCCAGTATAAGTTTACAGTTTAAATGTGATTGAGGCTTCTCCATTTTAGCAATAGTTGAAGAGAAATCCTTTTTTCTTTTTCTTTTTTTCTTTTTTAGTGAAAGCTACAGTTGGAAAGTGTCCACCCCCACAAATCCTACAGCTGGCTCAAATTATCTTTTCTCTTAAAAATAGTTTGAAGGCCAAAACCATCTCATCTCCAAATAGTCAAAAATTCCAATGTTAACTTTTGATCAGTAGATGTCCTCAGTAAGCTAAAAAGACTTCTTCAAAGACCATTTTTTTCCTTTTTTCTATTTTTTAAAAGAAGAATGGAAAAAGAAATACTCTACCAATATAATACCGCTCCAAAAAAAAAACAACAATTTTTTCTGTACCTCAACGTGAATAGAGATAAAATATAGTCTTTAAAAAGGTTTTAATCTGTCCTTTTATAAAACGCCTTTGTTCCCACACATACAAAAGCCGCTTTTTCCAGATGGGGAAATAATTCCAACGAAGCTTTTGCAGGCAAAAACAACATAGGGTAAAGAGAGGAACAAAAAGAGTCTTACCTGGATCATCCGTGGTGGGTCTATTACACTTAGATGTCAGTGTGACTTTCGGCTGGTGCAGCAGGGTGGTCGGCCATCTTGCAGGCCGATCTTTACTCCGTCGGCCTAAGAAGATAGCTGGAGACACAGGGAAGCTGCCGCCCTCCCCTATCTGCCAGCAAGCCTTCTCCTCAGTGGTCGCCCCTCCAGGGCGACTTTCGACCCCCTAGGGGGTCTACCGGCAAAGGAAACTCCGGATGGCACGGAGACAAGTCTCCAGGCATGACTGGCATCACCGCATTCCGGAACCGGAAGTCAGCTCACGCTAGTAGACAGAGAGTGATTGGATCGAAAGAAAAGAAAACAGCAACCCCGGTAAGCACCAATATAGTAAGAGACGTGTGCCATTTAAGAACAAACGAAGTAGAGAAAACGGATGGACCGATAACTAGATCAAGGAGCCGGGTGCAGAGCCGGCTTCAGTATACAAAGGACTCCCAGCAATCTTGCATTACGCTCTGATGATGTAGGTAGTGCTGGCTGACGAAAGCTCAGCTTTAACTTTTGTATTAAACAGTTTTTGTTTTAATATTATTCTGGTGCTCAGACTATTTTATTTCTATGGTATGGATTTACCCAGGATTCGCATTTTTAGTATAATTAGGGATATATATATATATTAAAAACCATACAGAAGCTTCGTTTACTACAAAATGCCATGATCAGATAATTGTGTGTTTGAAAAATCTCCTCCAGTTGAACCAGTGGAATGTCAGCCTTAGGAAACACCAAACTAGGAATACCAAAGCTGAACACAGACACCACACAGTAGCTGGAGAAAACAAGTAACGTAGTACAGCTTTCAAACCCATTGTTGTTGTTAGTTGCGAAGTCATGTCCAACCAATCGCAACCCCATGGACAACGTTCCTCCAGGCCTTCCTGTCCTCTACCATCTTCTGGAGTCCATTTAAGCTCA